AATTAATCTATGTGTGAAATCAGAAATTGATATTAAATGTTAAATTTTTTTTATAGCCTTATAGTTTTACAATCTGTAGATACTCATACATATATTGGCTCGTGTATTTATTTATTTATTTATTTTTTTTTTTTTGATCTACTATTAATTTGATAAGCCATCAAATTAACTGAAATGACGTCCACAAAAATCAATAACAAGAATCGCGGAATAAAAAAAACGAAAAACAGCAATACCAATGATTTTTAATATCAAGCCGCGCGTGCGTTTCTTCTGATGCTATATACACGGAGAACTATACAAAACACGATAATATATAATAAATGGACTCTATACTATATAATAAAATGGCGGCTGTAGTGATGTAGTCGTATCACATTATATACATTGGTCACATAGTATAATATAATAATATAATGTATTGTTTTGTGCGTTTTGTTTCCGCGCATGTTATAAAAACAAAAAAAATATGCGTTTGAATATAATATATTATGTATATAGGCAGCACTTACGACATGTATACAAAAGACGAGCCCCATCCCGCTGTAACTACTATACGTATTATATGTATATATATACATGTTTGTCGAGTTTCTACCCTCCTCTATAATATCATGTTTATAATATATATACCTATACATATATGTAATCCTATCGCGGCGTACTCAGCAGAGAATCACGTTCTCACAATTTTTTATCATCACGTTTTGGTTTTTTTGTTCGTTGTTGAAACGATGCGCGATTCGCTATCAAAATCATAATATGTAATCATTCAAATGCAATAATACCGCCACAAGCTATACCTAACCATATTTTGCATTCGATTTCGACGTCGTGGTAGCAGTACGCCCCAAATTGTATGCTATTAAAATGATTATCATATTTTTATACGGTATCTAACAAAGGGCTACGACCTGGCTAAATAAAAATCTTTATCATAATTTAGGTACCTATATTTTGTAAGCGGTGGTATAACGAATTCAGTGGGTGCCTATTTATTTCGATTGACTAAATGTTTAATAAAATATGATAATAATATACGTTGATAAATTATATACACGTACGTGTATGAACTATATTACGTAATCGTTTCTGATCGGTTGAAGAAAAACGAAACAATATTTTTTTCTGTCCGTACCTACATAAAGCCTATTATTCCACTTATATCATATGTTATAAGACGCATTATACTTATGGTTTTTACCTATACATACTCAAACAAAATATGAAACCATATTACCGATAATGTGAATGTTTTTTTTTCATTTTAAACAATTTGTTTTATTCGATGACATAAAAATGGTATATTATCATCGATCTGCTTATATATTTTTTAATCCCGGAGTATTTAATATTGAGTATTTAAAAAAATCCAGTTAATTATTTAATATAAATTAAAAATGCGTTTTATAGGTAAATTGCTCCTTGATTATGTTTTGAATAAGTTAATTTGTGCAATTGCATATTAATGAATAATATATCGAACATGTTAGGTAATATATAGGTATTATATATAAATGTACAAGTTATAAATTTCTAACGATTCATGCAATTTGATGTATAGATACTATCTGACACATCCAAAAAAAAAATTAATGAAATCGTGATCACTAATGACAGATAGTATTAATATATCCTCTAAACATTGACATTCCCAAATTTAACAGGGGCACAGATGGTTTCCGCCAAAAATATATCTTTCCCTTTTTCATTGATTCACGTTTTAGCAAAAAAAATTAAATTAGTAGATTGCCTTTTCCTTTTCTGCCAAACGAAAAAAAAATACTTGTTAGAGAGCATTTGAATATTATTATTTGTAACTAAGTATATGAGATTTAGAGATGTGGAAAAACTATTAACTAGGTAGATAAATCAAAAGATAAAAATTAAAAAATTGACAAATTTTCAATTTTTTTTTTGTTTTATATATTATTAAATTTTTGTTAAAAAATATTAAGAATTTAATTCAAATTTTCTGATCGTAGTGGCCGTATGTTCCAACTACAATTAAAAAAAATAAATACATCATTATTTTGTTATTACAAACGTATCTATAAGTTCAAACTTTAATAAACATCTTTAAAATCATTCAAATTGTTAAATATGATAAATATATTTATTTTTTTTATGAACCATGTATAATGATAAAATAATAATGTAGGAATAATTAAAAAAACAATTATAGTTTTGAATAAAAAAAATTATATTTTTTTTGTTATTTCACATAAACCTATATTATTTTAAACTTAAAAGCGGTGAATTGTTATTACTTAACATCTTTTATTAATCAATATATTATGTATTATTTTATTTTATTTTTTTTTTTTTTACAAAAAATCGAATGCTTCGTATAATATTTATCTATATAGTGAAAGAGTAAAGATACACTTTTAGTAGAAACAAATAACTCCCATTCTACAGAGACCAAAAAAAATTCTATATACCTAATAGGTATACGTATAACAAAAAATCTATATCATTAAACATTCAGACTATTCTTTAATGTTAAGAAGTTAAAAATTTTACTTAAAAAAAATCGATTAGTATAAAAATCTAATGTAAATAATATTAGTTAACTATAATAACCTTGTAGTTCATGTTTAAAAAAAATAAAATTATTTAACGTTATTGTAATTATTTGTAGACATAAATGTAACCTTTTGACTTATTGCTCAAGTTGCGTTTAACGAACCACATTGATGGAACACGTGACTTTAATCAGCTAATCAGCACCATAAAATATGAACATTGAACTTAAAAAAACTCCCGTCTGTTATTCTTATTATACTATCTAATCATCGATGGTACTTAGAACTTTTTATTTTAAGTTTCAATTACAAAAATTACATCATCATTTCAGTATTAAATATATTATGTTCCTGATAAAATAGGTTATTATTTTGACCTTCTTGAGATAGTTCGAATTTGTATATGGCTTTTAATATGAATACCTAATTAAATTTTAAAAAAATAAGACCTCTATACGCGCGGCGTGTGAAGGACAACTAGCTACTTTTTCATTTTCATTTTTTTGATTAGAAGCAGTTCTTAAAACCTTTAAATTGGTTTATTTGTGATTTTCCAAGACAATTTAAAAAGTATTGTATGCAATTGTAGCAATTAAAATAAGTTACATATTTTATTTTGTTGAATTTAAATTAATACAAAACGTACCTAACTACTTAAATCATTTTATCTAAAAACTTCTTTCGAAATGGTGATAATTTATTCTATTCTCTATAAATTTTAATTTTTTTAAATATAATACTGTACTAACTATCCATAGTTGTTTCAGACATAAAAAATGTAGAAGTGTTAATAAAACTTTATTGATATTTAAACATTAAAGCAAAAAAAAAAATTATTGATCAGTAAATAATTATAATTTTCAATTATTTTTTTATTTTTAATGATGATATCTATACGTCAATTTTATGTTAGTAACTAACAAATTACATTATTAAATATATCTGTATTGAAGCAAGGAATTAGTGAAACCTATAATTGTATTATTTTAACATTTTTAATTTTTGATGTCTACGTTGAGGTACTATAGGTATTATATTTATAGCCTAAAAATCATAAGTTGCATTATATCATATAAATCCAAGAAAATTCATACCACAATAAACTAAAAGTAAAATTTTTATTTGTACAAAAAATATTCTCCCATTACGTGCAGTATTTCTACTGCCCAATATTTTAATAACACCGAAAACTGTCGATGATAGCAAATTCAATTTAAGTCATTTGATATTTTTATTTGAATGGTAATGGTAATATTTTCGATTCTAGTTAAGGTTTATTGTACAAACATATATTTATTCAATGTATATAGGCACAATGACAACAGATATCATCACTACATTAATTTAAACTTTTTATAAATATATAAATTTAGCAATTGTAGTATTCACTAGTTTGTATATTATATATATTCATCATGCGCGTTATTGTTGTTCTCTAATTTTTGTATATGGTATAATATTATTTAAATGGCTGTAGGTATTGTAAGTATTACAAATTTATAATCAACTAAACCGGTATAGGTATAGCAGTAGGTACAATAGATGAATAAGACACGTTTTGAAATCATTTGAATAATATAGTTACCTATATTCGTTTACCGTGGAAATTACAACAGGTAAAACATATTTAAAAACAATTCAGTTCAGCCACATTATAATAAACTGTTATCGTTTTTTATCATCGACGATCAACGTGTAACCGTAAACACGGCCGTCTGCTGTACAACCCCAAGTATATACAGATAAAAGCAATTAGGCATAGGTAATTTAATTACCTGCATTCTATATTAATTTCGGATAATGAATCGTATATATCGTTTTATAAACGTCATTTCGGTTTTTTTAAAACATTGTCTTGTTTTTATAAAACTAACATTCGGGTGACGGCATACAATTTGTATATATAAGATCACCAAAAGGACAATAATAAAATTAATTAGGGCTCAAATTTTAAAGTATAGCTCTTCTCTTTCTCTATATTAGATAGGATTATAGAAATATTATTACTAATAATAGTATAACAATATAATAATATTATATATTATAATAAGCACAGTGATTCAAAAACAATACCAATTATTTGATGATCGTGATCTCTACAACGAAAAAACAAAGAGCTATCTGTCGTTGTTCAGGTAATTGAAGTTTAATTTATGATTGCTGAAAGATGTTCTCACCTGTGCGGGTATTTATCAATCAATGGCTATTTGAACGAAAGGCATATAAGGTACCTCTATAGGCTCCACAACAATGAATCAGCCGCTAAACAGCTCATATTAGAACTCTTTCTCACTGGCCTCTTATAGTTCTATAAGCCCTGATCTTACCCCCTATGGTTTTTTTTTTCAATTGAAGTATATGTTGAAGATATAATTTTTAAAAGGTTCCGTCGTGTTTTTTTAATTAATACAGATTTTTACAGATGTGGTATTATTTTTTAATCACTAACTGTGTCGGCACAAATACACCTACCTGCATGTGCATTCTGATGCGATCCAGGGGAGCTGAGACGGTTTTAGACACAGCAGCCGACATCCCGCCTGCTGCGCAATGTCGGGACCAAAAGCCCAATTCCGTCAAACCGTCAGTGGTTAGTGTGTTGTTTTTCAACGTCATGACAGCAACATACTCATAACAATTTATTATGATGTTACACTGTTCGAATAGTCGTAAATCGCAATCGACGATCGATCTGATGACATATTGTAATAATATCAAGATAAGATATTTCGAGTAAAATAAGTACTAACGGGCCATAATATTTATACAGTATATATTTGGACGTATAGGTAACAATAGTGTTGTATCATAACAAAATGTATATAATATAATTATAACAAGTCAGTAGCTATGTAAAAATCAACAATTGTATTGCGTAATGTGCACGATTTAGAAAAAAACAAAAAGATTAATAATAATAAGAGTTGAATAAAAAAAAAAAAAATGATTTTGACATACGAAAAAAAAATTAGTAGATAAATGAACCGAAATTTAGAGTTAAAATAAATTACAACAAATTTTATTAATTTTGTTCACTCTATTATTATTAAGATGACTTATTATTTCTCTGTGGCTTCAAATTAAATCATAGCCGATTATGAATCATCGTTTGAATAAATATGTTTATAAAATACGATCCCCATGTCATTGTTTGTTATACATAATGTTATTATTATTAATTATAATTATTTATTAATCGTCATTATGCTATTTTATTGCACGTAATTTGTAGGTAGGTAGAGCAGGTACACATCATTAAACCAATTATTTCGAATGTGATTATGTTATATTCAATAGTTTACTGTCTTTCTTTAATATTACCATCATATTTGTGTATTGCTTAACAAAGTGATAAGCCATAAGCGTTAATACTTTGTCGGAAAATGTACACATCGAGTATATTATAACGGAGAGTATAAAGTGAAAGAAAAATATAATTTTACAATACTTGTATACTATATACATAGTTTATACGTTACTAGTTTCTACATCAGTGTACATCATACCTACTTATCACAATATATATTTCAACTTTTTAAACTTTTTTCTCTTTCTTACTAATTTTGATTGTTATACAATTATTCTATAGGTATTACTTATCCCTATATAATATTTAATGAATAAATTGTGCGCATTTAAAACTTTGAATAAAAATATTAATGTTAATTTACTGAACAACATTTATGTGAATTGAATAAGATTTACAAGATGTCCTTATTTTGCCTCGCATCTGCAGCATATACTTAGATAAGAACTTTTTAATTTATTGGACTTGAGTAACTGACTTCTCAAAATATGGTAATGTATTATTAATTGCATCCTAAAGATTACATAGTTTAAATTTTAGATAAAAATTTTAATTTTTGGGTTCATTATATAGCTTTCTCATTCTGTTCTAAAACATAATAAATTATGGATATTAATTGGTATACTATTATATTTAATTTTATCTCGTCTCGTATATATACTATGAAGTTTTCATATTTTCTGTATATGTATACTATATAGATATAAACAATAAACATTGATAGTTGTCAATAGTTAATTTTATAGAAGATAAAACACACAGTTGTCGGAGTTGTTATACACTTATATAGGTATTGAAAAGAGTTGATTCTTCTTTATTAATAATAAAAAATATACTAAGAAATAGAAGTACTGGAAAATTTAGAAATGAATTATGAATAAACATGAGTCTTAACTGAAATCAGTAATATAGGTAATCACAGTATATAGTTTGCACTACATTGAAAATATATAATGGATAATTCTTATTAATATGAAAAAAAATTGATTATAAAATCATGTACATGTAAATATGTATAATAAAATACTAATTAATAATGAGGATTAGATGATCTTTTAGAATCTAACTCGAACAATTAATGTAATGGTTTTACAGTACTTTATGTCTTTTCTTTTCTTTTGTGTCTGTTATTATCATTTGAAACAGTAATAATGCTTTAATTTTCAATTTTTACGATAGTTTCTGGTAGAAAATTTGAACTAGTTTTTTGAGCTTAAAGAAAATATTATTAAGAAATGTGTAGCACCCATCTTGAGACGATTTTATCATCTCAAAATATTGAATAACAAAGGAATTCACATGAAATCGACGCATAATAATACATAATATTATATCGTCGTATATACCGTAATATTTTTCTCTATACACAGTAATGTTAAAAAACTATAATTATAGAAATCTTATAGGTACTTCATAATTATATCGTATATCAGATATAGACAATACATTTTTAAATTAAGAATGTATTTATCTTAATAATTTAATTAGTCAAATTATAAGTATATAAAGTATAGGTAAGTTTTGTAAACTAGCAATATGTAGGGTACCTCGTTCTACTCCGCTCATCTAAGTTTTAAATATTTATAACTTATAAACTACTCATCCTAATTTCGATTTTTATGAATTGAAACACCTCAAAATAACTTTTCATATAAGGATTGCAAAAAAAGTATAGCTTCCAATTTTAATTACTTAAGTTGACCTCAAAAACCCCACAAATATATTGTAAAAAAAAAATTAGAAATTACTAATCATATTAAATATTTCTAAATAAAAAAACTTTTGTATTGAACATTTTTCTCTATTATGAATATTTATATGATGAAATTACTATAAGTTATAACATATATTTTAAATCACTCTTTATTTACTATATACGTATTATACATATTACATTGATTAGTGTTTTATTATTTCACAATTGAATAGTTATAAAAATATTTTAATTCATGGCCACGCATAATGATTGATAAGAATAAGCATATATTATAACGTATGGTTAATAAATAAATAAATAATGAATTTATAAATTATTGATTGAAAACACTATTATACATATCAAGCAAATAAAAATATAACAAAATGCTACACCAGTATAAAGAAAATTTTTATTATAAAAATATGATAAATAAATAAATAAACAGTTAACATTTAACACTTTTTTTTAAATAACTTATTGATGTAAAAAAATACAATTTATAAAAACTATACCTATTCAATAAGTGTAATAACTTCACTTAAAAAACTTGATAAATTATATTTATTTTTAATTTTTATTATTTTTATTTCAAATTTAAAAATTAATAGAGGTTAATTATACCTAATAGCCTTAATTACGATCAATTATATACTCATGTGCCAATGAAGTCATTTTTGATCATGGCACATAAAAGTACCAATAGTCAAGAAGCTAGCAACCAACAATGATAACTATGATAATTTCAGCATAATTTTAATATAAAGCTTTTGAATTTAATTGGCATGTTAATTTGAAATTTCCTATTAATTAAATAATATTTTAGCTTTTGATAATAGTTCTAGAATTAAAATACTGAGTAGATATAATTTACTACCTACAAAACATTTTATGCTAACTATAAAATATTGACTTAAATAAGACGTCATCGCATTATTCGTTTTCTATCTCTATCGCGTGGATTAGTGCAACATATAGATAAAATTCGTACATTTGAATTCATATTTTAATGGTTTTTACTTAAGAGGACGCCGCACTCACATGTGTTATCCCCGTCTTACATACATACAATATAGCAAATTTTCGTTCAGCCGAATCTATTTTATGTTTTTAGCTTTAATATTAAAGTAAATTTACCTAATATCAAACTTAAAGGTAAGAATTTTATCTAGGCCATTACATAGGCTTTTATTGATATTTTAATTTTAAAGTTTTAATATTTGACATAGCTATAATTCAGTTTAAAATTAAAATATCAATAAAAGCCTATGTAATGGCCTAGATAAAATTCTTACCTTTAATTTTGATAATAGGTAAATTTACTCTAATATTAAAACTAACGACGTAAAATGAATTCTGCTGAACGGGAATGTATTATTTTATATGTATATAAAACGGAGATAACACATGCAAAGTAAAATCACCTACTACTATGAAAATTATAGAGAATGATATTAACATATATTTTGTTTCATTTTTACCTCAAAAAACGTAACTTTCATATACATTTATTAAAAAATATTATTTTTCTGATTTTTCTAAAATTCTTTAAAATTATGATATAAAACGATTTCGAGTAAATGTAAAATATGTTGTATATTTATTGCAACGCGTAAGTTAGAGATATAGAATATAATACATAGGTACCAATAATTTTTAGTAGTAAGTAGATTAATTAATATACCTTACAATCTACCTATCTCTGCACGTGTGCCTTATTAACTATTACGATGCTTCTTAGATGTACCTACACCGTACGTATGTATATAAATGGGTCGGAGATATACGGAAGACAAATTCTTATGAAAGGAACGTCAATTACAACGGAATCTTAGTCTAACTACTTTAATCAACACCAGAGGCTAAACACTTCAATATAGCTTGTACGTTGAATACAGTTTATACGATAAAAAATATGAAAATATTCCTTCGAAACGTTGTATGGTCTGCACGTAACAGCTACTTAATAGGTAGATATGTATATGTATAAATAATATAACCATACACGTATATTGTATCTTTGTGCTGTATACTTCGAAGGTCAGCAACATTTATATATATATAATTTTATCTAACACACTCTAAGGTATATTTTGATATTCATTAATTTATTATATTATATAATAATATGTGCGTTCTTTCACATCGGGGCCGTCCAGCAATAAACACGTGGAACACAATAATTAAAATAAAATTAATTCGAGGTGCTGCAGCTCATATTATATTTTCAACTAGTGAAAACTTAAACCTATGGATTATTTGATGAGGAACCCCGCCTTATTCTGTACCACTATTTAATAATGACAATAATTTGTATTTATAATTAGATTTTGTCAATTAACATTTTTACGCGCATAGTTTTTGTTTTACACAGACTATATACAAGTACTTACATCAAATTTATATTTAATAAAATAATATTTTACACAAGTTGTATACGGGTTAGATAAAAATACAATAAAATAAGGCAATTGCTATCTGTTATTTTTACTTTTGACAGTATAAAATACGCATTAATAGTTTAATGTAATAATTTTGAGTAATTTTTATTATTATTACTATTCTTTTATTTTAATGTATTTTTAATAATTTCATATGAATATTCATAATTTT